CTACGTGTGCTATAGCGCTACTATCGATATAAACATTGAAATTTAATTTAATATCTAAAATCCCATTAATCTTTTCCACTACCCGTCCTATATTTATATTAGCATAGGTTTTATTTATTTATAGTTTATTTTAAAGGATAAATACCTATTCTATATCTATTGAGTCTTCCGCGTAGGGGTCCGGGAGACGTGAGAGTTTAGGCATAATAGGAATATCTTAAAAAAGAACCTCGTTATCTAAGTCTTTTTCTTCTTCCTAATCTTCTTTTTCTGATTCTTCTTCTGATTCTTCTTCTGATTCTTCTTCTTCTTCTAAAAAAGGCTCCTTTATAGGGGGTAAATCAGAGACTAAATTAATAGTCTTATCGTTACTTAATTTCCCTAGGAGTTTCTATTACTCGTACTAACGGAAGAAATTAAGTATTTTAGTCTCTTATAACGAAACCTTCGACGGTGCCGTCTTCTTTAGAGGCTTTGTATTTTATTTACCCGACTTTAGGTATTTTACCTCGAACCTGAATTTCCTTAGACTACCTATCCTACAGGGGCTTTTTCAGGGTATAGAAAATAGCAGTTCGTTAGTAGGTGTCTAGATCTTTTATAGCTATTATAAAAGAGGTTTTCCTTCTAATAGCCGCCGTTCGACTACCTTTTCTGATTTTTCTTCTGATTTTTCTATGCTTTTATAAGTAAGGCCTTTAAGGTGGAAGAGTCGATTTTCCTTAACGCGTCTATTAGTCCCGTAATATTTTTATCGAATGTATAACTATCGATATCGTGCCGAAAAGCCTATATAATCTATATAGTGACTACGTCGTAACGCTTATCTAGACGGTTTAGAGTCTAGGTAAAAACCACCTTATCTAGTAGTATAATATCCTTTCCTTGAAGGATAATCAGTCTTTCTTAGACTTTATATAGAAAGTCCTCGAGTATAGGGAATTCTAAGATATCTATGTTAAAGAATAATATAAGAACCTCGTAGTTAGCTTAAAAACCCTTTTTCTTATATAGGGATTTTAGCTTTTCCTAGATTTCTAAAGTAAAATTAAGGTCCTAAACCTATATTAGGGGCCCGTTTTGCAGAGCGGAGAGTAAATCTCTAGTAGTCTTTAAATATTCCTCTTTTACTTTATTAGAGGTATCTAAAGGCAGGGGTTTTATAAGCTCTTTTAGAAGCTTTCCCTTATATATAAAGTGGGGACGTATAGCTATCGTCTAGGTTTAGTAGTCCTAACTACCCTTAAGCTTCTTTACGGTTAATATCTTTAAGTTCTGCCTATACGGGTATCTTAAGAGCTTCTGAACGGTATTTATTTTATTTATTTTGGATAAGAACTAATGAAGTTATAGTATAAATAAAGATAATAGTCTTTTTCTTTATTCTTTTCTTTATTCTATATATAGGTGGTTATTATAACGATACCTTTATTCGTGCCTTTATTCTTACGGGTCTAAAGTAGAGCCGTTCTTTATTCTAAGAGAGGAAAAACGGCTTCGTAGATAAAGAAAACGATACCTATACATATACATAACAGAATTCCTTTATTTCTAAAGATAGTATTCCTTTATTCTAACGGGTCTAAAGTAAAGCCGGTATAATTCTTTTATTCGCGAGGATCCTAGAGTAGGTCTTTGCGGAATCAGGGGATTCAAGGTCGCGTAGAAAACATAATATTTATATAGGATTCCTTAGTCGGAAAATATATAGAGATAGAAATCTTAGGTAGAACTAAAGACTTATAGGTAATAAAGATATCCTAGTAATATCCCTCGTAGTATAGCGGTTATAGTGTCTGTACGTAAAGAATAATACACCCGTTTAATTCACGTAATCGTAGCTTTTATATTTTTCAAATCATTTTATAAACTTATAAGCGTACGACTAAGCCGACTAATTATTCGAACCGTAGAATCGTAGATATAGGTAGGTAGGTCGGTATAAAGGTAGGTAAGTAGTGTTAGTAGAATATAGAGTGAAATATCGGATAGGAATAGGGGACTATTATTTAGAATCGGGGGATTCTCTTTTTGGCTTACGACTATAGGTAGTTAAGGAATATGTTATTTCGAGACTTTAGTCGAGCTTTCTTGGGCTTATAACCTTTTAAAGATTACGGATAAGTGGAAGGGACGAAAGTCACGAAAAGCAGTGGAAAAAATAGATAGTACATAATAGGATTATAAGGTAGCATTTCTGCGCGTGTATGGATTATATAAAAGCGATAAAGAAGAAGAATAAAGGAAGGAAGAACCGAACCGAGGGGACGGGTTAATATCCTTTATTCTTTCCTTCTTTATAAAAGAATCGAGATCGTAATAATAACGTAATTCTTTATCTAAGACTAATCCTTTATCTAGGCTTACTGGGAAGATATCCTTTGTTCGAGTATAAAGGTACGAAGGATATTATTAGTAATATCAACAGTTAGTATAGAATTTATAGAGTAAAGAAGTCGCGAACTTATATCGCCGTTATCGGCGTCTTCGTGTATAGTATAAACGGTATTCTATAAAGCGTTAGAGGCGTTATAGACAGCGGGCGGGAGCTATATCGTTCATTAGTCGCGGTTACTATATATATAACCGGCACGCCTACCTCGGAATACTTATAAGTACGGTATAAGCACTTATAGTATTTAGCGTTAGCCCTAGCTGCGCTAGGGCCCGACTAGTAATAATACTCGATACTATATTCCTATTTATATTACCGGGTAGCGTACTACGTATAGGGGGCGAGATGATAAGGGCCTAGCGGGTTTTTAGGGGTATATCGCTTCTTAGCCGGGGGGGGGGGGGTTAAAGTCTACTTATCGTTAGTTACGGCCGACCTTATAACCCGTAGTAATAAGGGCCGCGAACTTATATCGTTATTACTATTACCCTCATAAGGGCGTTTATTAGGTAAGGCGAAGTTAGATATCTGCTAATAGTTAGCTACGGCACGGAATTATAGGCGAGGGGCGTGCTAACTTATACTAAGGAGAATATAAGTAGCCTAAGTAATAAGCTATTACTTAGCGATATTAGTTATACTATTACCGGACCTATAAGGTATCTCGGGGTTACTCACGATATAGAAAACAAAATTAAAAAGGAATTAGGAAAAATAGAAGTTATAGAAGAGGAAGAAAATAGTAAAAACCGAAGAGTCGTAGGATTTTTATTTTACGCCCTTTCCTACGCTGTTTAGGTAGAATGAATAACCCCCGGTTATATAATCGGCAGGTATATCGTTTATAACGAGCACGCGCGCGGGCGAGGAACTCGCGATAGCACTGCTATGCAAGACCCCCTTTCTGCTATTTTAGCTTTAAGAGGAACTTAGCTACTACGGATTACCTCCCTTTAAAGGAGCCTTTAATAGAATCGAATAAAGGAGGCTATTTTCAGATTATATACGGAGAGCCTAGGGTAATATAAGGTTATAACCGGGCGACTATAACACGACTACGACCTTGCCTCCGGCGGGCGGTAGGGGGGGGAGGTATATTACGGGCTATAGCCCGCGGAATAGTCCCCGGTAATAGCCGGGACTAAGAAGCATAGACCTCCTAGTAAGGCCCGTGCGATCTTACTTATACTTAGCCACCTATATACCGTATAGACTTTTCCTTTCCTCCTTTCCTTCCTTAGTTCGAATAAACTATATTTTCGGCCTTAATACGTAGATAACTTTTAATAAGCCGTTATATAAATTAATTAAAGTAAGTATATAACTTCTATAGTACAGGACTATCAGGGAACTACTACTACCGTTTTTATCTATTATAAAAGTTCTATAGGTATATATTCGCCCGGATTACCGAGGTTATAATCCTTCGGTTAAATCCTTGCCCCTTATATCACCGTAAAAACTACGATCCGTTTAGCACCTTCCGTGCCTAAACGCGTAATCGGCTCTTAGGTTATTTCACCCCCGAGGGAGGTCTATACGATGCTGCACGGCATTATATAATCCTCAGAAGTACTATCTAACCCCTGAAAAAACGTACAATATATATTTACGGGACCTAAATACACTAATAGTATCACGATAAGGAGTGGAGTGGATTATAATAAGATACATCAAAAGTGGATATTTTCTATATAAAATACAGGGGTTTAGATATACTAAACCAGGGGTTCTTAGTATCCTGTTAAGCGACCTTATAGCTCCCTAACACGTCGAAGTCTAAGGCATTATATCGAGGTATCGTCTTAGCCCTAAAAATAAAGCAGAAAACACTTCTTGTATAAGAATTCTAAGTAGTAACTAAATCTTTTCGTATAGTAAATAGCTATCGATCGATTTCGGATTGACTTCACGATATCCTATAGTGGTGTTGAGTTTTTTTTCATGTTAGGCAGCTACGTCTCTCGAACCTTCTTAATTTTCCTAAAAGGGTAGACTGCGAAGGTACCACTTTGTACGTTTTTTCAGGGGTTATATGGTACCTCCCGCAATAGTGGACGGATGTCTCCGACATAAACTTTGGGCAGAGATTACGAATACAATAGGTATCAAGGCTTCCCCACCTAATGCCGGCTCGCCCTCCTCCCACCCCAAAGCACTAAAACGAGGCAGCGCTGTGCTCGCCTCCCGCCCTTTGCATTCCGAGCGAACCCGGGCAATAGCACAAAGAGAGGCGGAGTGAAAAAAGTGAACTATCGACAATCGGGTTCTGCAGCTGTGCCGAGCTGCCGGGGGTACTCGACTTACAACCACAAAAGATGTGTTTCCCGAGACCTACATAACTACCAACTTGCAAATAATTAGCCCTACACCTCCACATGGCCTGAGACTGAACCTTTGCAACGGCATGAGATCCCATACACAGACGGCCCAGGTCCTGGTCCTGCTGTTCCTGTCACGATGTGTGTTATCAGTCGTCGGAGACCAAAACTTGAGGCCGCCACGGACTCCAGTGTCTGATATGACACCGAGACCGACGGGTGCATTGGATACGTACCTCAAGCTCATCCGCCGTCAGGATTCAGGCTGTCCGGAGAGGACATTCATGTGCTCCCCGTCACTCGGAGAGGACTTTGCAGGCGTATGTTGTGTGCATAGTCAGGTCTGCGAGCTCGACGACAGCGGTGCACCAGCATGTTGCCCTTCAGGGTGGGTTATACGGCCTTCCATCCCATTCTCACCGCCGAGGAGTCTAGGCTAACATGATCACTCAGTGCTATTTGCACCGGAATCGCCCCCCCGAGTCCAGCAATGCCGACGGCAACGGTCTCCTTCGTGCCCAACAATTACTTTCCTTTCCCGTATATAGCCACGTCACTTGACCAACGCCAATGCTCCTCCGCTGTGAGCCAATGCTCACGGAACTACGAGGTCTGCTTGACGGAACTGCAGGGTGGCAACGACGGGTTCGGCGTAACAATCGTTGTGCCTGGAGGGGGCGGAACCGTCATCGATGCAGATCGGCCCACCCTAGGCACGTCGGCCACGCCTGTCTGTTCTAGCTTGAGTTCCGAGGCTTGCTCCGGCCTTGAATCCACACACTGCGCGCAACCTACGACAGTTAACGGTATTGTTGTTGAGTCTGCCTCTTCCTCGGCAAGCGCGGTAGCAGTCCGCCTGGCTTTCTTTGGGGCCGGTATCAGTATCGCCGCGATAGGGACATGCCTGTGAGCTCTCGGGCTATCACGACACTATGCGGCGATATTATCCTCATCTTTCTGTTCTCTTGGGGGGTTTTTTTAAACTTAGCCAGCCCTATTTGTTTGTTTTCTCTTGCGCATGGTCTAGGTACCCTTATCACTCTGTATCCCGGCTGGCTGCTACGCAGGCCCCTGCGCACAGGGGAATAGGAAGCATGCGCGTGTCATTCGACACCCGGGCGGTCACAGTCCAAATATATCTCCATTTGCTTGTTCTCCTTGGCAGTTGGCAGCACGCTGATCAACTGTCGAAAGCGAGGAAGGACAGTTGAAATGGTGGAGACCAAGACTGAGGACATTGCTGCAGAGTTGATCATGTTGGCAACACTACCTGGGTCGCAGCACATAAACCGTAGTGTTGGTTGTGCAAGTTACTGGTAACCTAAGAGTCCGCAAGCCGTGGCGCTCCTGTCGAAAGCGGTTGTGACACCGGTGAGCAGACGTTTTACGTTGGTTGGGATTATCTTCATCTTGAGCCACAGATAGCATCCTGCCAGGGACAAATTGCGCTTGATAATGGCCCCAAGTCACGCGGTGTGAGATCTGGGTGTATGTATATATCATGTATCTGGATTTTTTTTTTGGCCCAATGTACCTTGGTGGACATCTCTTGCTTGTTCCCGGCTCTTAGCCAGCCACCCAAGTCCCGACCCGCGAAATAGGCGACGCAGACCAGGGTGTCTAGGAAACAAAAGCATGAGGGAACGCTGCGCACTTTTGGGATAAGCGATACATGGCAAATGCTGATGAGGTTGGACCTGAACCAAGAACCCGATTCCCTCGACTGATTTGAGAGGTCTGCATCATCGCTCTGTCACTTCGAATCTCTAATGTGTGCCAAGATCTGCCGGAGTCTGCTGAGAGCCTTCCTGCCGGGTTGTTCATTCCCTGCCTTTCCGAGCTCTTTCCGAGCTTCTTGGGCAAGAGGCTCCAGGGCCCCCCACACCTCATCGTTGTAGTTGGTGAGTACGACCTTCCACTTATCTAGCCAGAGAGCGTCAGCTTCTGCCACAGTACGGACACCAAAGTGAGCGTAAATCGAGTCGCTCCGATCTTCTAGAAGAAAATCAGGCTGGAAGTTGAGCAGAGTGTGCCAATCTGATGTCAGGCGGGTTCCCTCTGTGGAGTCCACAGAATTTGCACCAAAAAAAGCCCTTCTCAAATCCGTCACTTCCTGGGGAGAAAGGGCAGTGGAAACATCGTCCGCGTCTCCGCCTGCATCCTCCGGATCGGGTGATGCGAGTAACTCGGCAACCTGGGCTCCGTCGCGGGCTATCTGCTGGGCAAAATCAGAGTGAGTAGTGGGCTTTTGAGCGCCAGTGTTATTGGCGTTCTGGGCGGATGCGGCCGTAGTTAGACTACTAGGTGACGGACGGACCCAGGGCGCCTTCCCCTGGGCTCCGAGAAAGCGGACATACTGCCCGAGCCCAGCAGTGGAACCAAGCGTCGATACCTCGCTAAGCGTGGCTTCATTGGCACGGCTAGAGCCGCTTCGGGCAAACGATGTCTCTCCCTTGTGTAGCGAGGTTAAAGTCGACGAAGTAGCTTCCACTTTGTCAGACGAGGAACCTTCCGCGCGGTCCGGCAGCCCTCTTGCGAGAGCTTCTGGATGTAGCAATGAGGAAGCCGAAGCCTGGATGCGCGAGGCGAGCGACGACGGATCACCTCGATGATCACGACTTTGTTCCCTCGGGTACCAACTGTCAGAGAGGTCCGAGTCCGCCGCACTGTCCGACAACTTGTGCTTCCCCTTGGCACTCCCATCGCGTGGAGGATCGCTCATGTCAGCGGCTATTCTCACACCTTTTCAAACTTGCGTCCGGGCCTTCCAGCGTTGCTTAGACTCCGTAGCACAAGACGAGTAGTCGATGTGGAGTCTGTTGACGATCCCGCAGTTCCAAGCGTCTGGGATTGTATGAGGGAAAGGCGGACTGCCCGGAATGGTTGCTCTTATAGATATATATGTGATTGGAGTTTCCGTCCTGAAATGTCGAATGAGACACTACCGAGATGCAGTTATGTGAAAACACAAGATCTATTGGACAGGCCGTGAGATTGACGGTTGTCGCACAGACCTCCCTCGTGGGTGGAACAACCTAACGGCCGATTACGCGTTTAGTAGGCACGGAAGGTGGATATTATGAAAACACAAGATCAACCTAGCATTATTACGTAAGGTGTCAGATGCCCACAGCCACCTTATCGAGGTGTGATAAACTATATTATGTTAGACGTGGGGAGTACCTCGGTTCTATATATCTACCCTTATTTCCCCTACTTTTTCCTTACAGTTAGATATCCCTATAAAGGATTCTAAACTTCACTTATATGAATATATATATAATTCCGCGTACCTTATGTATATTCTAATAGTTATAAGCCCGGCGTTCTGATAAAATAAAGCTATTCCGATCGATTCTATAGCTTCTAGGCTATTAAAATTAGCCTTAAGTCTAGCGGGTAGTTTAGTAGTATTAGTAATGTCCGCCTGCTTTAGTTTTATTTAATCGCTTTATCGTTTTCCCTTATATTATCGTTTTAAGCGTTTAGTATAGTTAATTAACCTTTCTATTTATCCTATTCCACTACTTTTTATTAGTATAACGATAGCTTCTACGGTAGTAGTGCCTGGTATAGGCCTCGTAACGCTTACTACTCCGAAAGACTAGAGGCCTTGGATTAAAGCCGTGATAATTATCGCGCACTCCTACCATATCGCCGACCTTATTAATCCCGACCTTAAAGAAGCTAAACGGCCTAAGCGCCGTATTTAAATAGATCCACTAACGCCTTTAGCCTCTATTAAAGGAAAAGGTAATTAGGATATATAGTTTAAGATCTAGTAGGTGAAAGAGGATCGGAATAAGACTAAAAAGAGGGGGATCTAAGCACTCTACGATTATATTGTAAAAACGATTAGCCTTACTTTAAAGGATTAGTACGCTGGTTATAAGGAAATCAGGGACATATTAAAGGCTCTTAAGACGCACCTTAAGCCGATAAACGCCGCCTAGAAGTTATTAATTAAGAGATACTAGGACGAATACCTCTAAAACGTTAGGCGTATACCCTATAAGCGCTAGCTAGAAGACTTTCTTAAGCTATACTATAATGCTAAGACGTATAAAGTTTATGCCTGTGATACTAAAGACGATTAGATTAACGGCTTCTTTAATGCTATCGGTAGCGTAGTATTAAAGTAGTTAGAAGGACGCTTTATAGAGCTCCTATAGTTAGAAAAGAAAGACCTACCTTTAATTTAGTTTATCGTGGGGGAGTATACGATATGGTTTTATCGCTATTACCCGTACCAACTCGATAAGAAGCCTACTATATTATCCTTTTATACGGTAACCTTCCTAGGTAAGGATAAAGAAGGTAAGGATTAGCTGGTATAATCGGGATAATAGGGTAACTAAAAGTCTAATAAATAAAAGAAAGAGTAGCTATACGATTACCGTAGTAAGAAGAGGAAAAAGTATAACTATAAGCCTTTATAGAAGTGCCTAAACGTTAACGAGGTATATAGAAAGAAGGGATATATACCTTTAAAAGAGATCATAGAACGCGTAGACTATATTATTAAAACCTAGGATAACGAACGTTAAAAGAGATTCCGGGAGAATATCAAAAAGGACGCTAAAAGCATTAAAAAGGGTGCTAAAAACGACTCTTAGAAGTTATAGCCGAAAGATCTGCTAAAGGAGGTATCTAATTTTATCGATAACTAAGAGGAGGATTCCGATAAGGAGTCCTATAGGATATACTCCCTCCCATAGATTAACGGAAAAGAAAGCGTTAGTAATAACCTCTTTAATTAGCTATTAATCGATTCCGGCACCTCTAAGTATATTACTAACTAATACTACTTACTATAGGACTTCGAACCTATTATAGAAGAGTATTGCTTTTAAACGGGTAATAGAGAGACTAAGCTAGTTAAGGGTTATAGTAGGATATAATTAGAAGTAGATAATAAACACGGTAATCCCTTTATTTTAGTGCTAAATCGCGTTGCTTTTATATAAGACTACCTAATAACCTTAATCGCGACTGCAAGATTAAAGGAATAGGTTATCGCTTTTAATACCGACCTCGAGGTCTTAAAGGTTAAAGGATCTGCCGAAGAGGGCTTATTAGCCCCACCACTTAATAACGTTAACGAGTAGTACGCTCTTATTCTAATAAACCGTTAATAATAACAGCTCGTTAATAGTAGCTTCTTTAATAGCTCCACGGTATTAATTATAAGCGTAGCTAATGCATATTTATGGTATAAGAGGCTAGGGCATGCCGGCACTGCAACCATCGAAAATATAGGGAATACCCTTACCGGTAGCGTTATTAAAGGAAAAGGTCCTCTTATTGTGGATTATAAGGCCTAAACTCTTAATAAGGTTAGGAGGCTAGTATTAAGGAGGCTAACTACGTACCGGCCGATAAGGCCGTGGTAGTGGGTGGAGGTTGATTTCTTTAGCCTTGATAAGGCCTATAACGGTATAAAGATTGCTGTCCTGTTTTTCGATCTATGTATATGCTAGATCGTTATTAGACTCCTAAGTAACGCTAAATTAGCACTCTAGATAATAGCGAACTTTAAGTTTTTCCTATAGCGATAATATAGCTTAAAGATTACTATGATCCGCCTAGATAGAGAAAGATCCCTTTAGAAAGGCCTTAACGAGTAGGCTAAAGAACGGGGTATCTTACTGGAAAGGTTAGCGCCGCACACGGCTACCTAAAATCCTCGAGCAGAACGACATAGCGGTATCGTATTTACTATCGCAAGGACCCTTATAACGGCCTTAGGCATTTAATAGGATATATAGCCAGAGATCCTCGCTGCTATAGTATACCTATATAACCTAATTCCTTGGAAGGACTCTAAGTAGAAGTCTCTAAAAGGATAAATAAAGGATTAGATTAATAAGTAAGGACTAAAGACAATCCTTACGAAGCCTATTATCAGCCACTTAAAGAGGTATAGTTATAGAGCCTATCCTTTAACCGCTAACTACTAACGAGGTCGTAACCTTAACGCTAAGTTAGCTGAAAGAGTATATATCGGCTATTTAATCGGTTATAAAAGCGCTAATATATACCAGATTTAGGTGCTAAAATTAGGGAGGATTCTACGTATAAGAGACGTTACCTTTAACAAAAAACCATTATATAAAGATCGCGATATAGAGCCGCCGGTTACCGAGGAGGCCTTCGAGTAATTAAATCTGCTAGTGGATTACTAACTCTATAATCCTCTCGCTATTACCACTAACGTTGCCGATCTTCTGCTTTAACCACTACTAGAGCAGAATACCACGAGAAAGAATATAGCAGAGGCTACTACTACCGCTAGTGCTTCTAGGGGGGTGGATAGAGGTGCAAGTTTAATAACCACTACAGAATCTGCAGAAGAATAATAATAGCAGGAAGATTAACCTGCTAAGTAGGAGGCATAGGGGGTATATGGAATAGGGTAAATAAGCCCTATAACGCCTTCCACGCCTCCGGCGACACCTACTTCAATAACGCCTTCTATAATTACACTTATAATTACTCCTCTAATAACTATAAACGGCCCTCCTGTACCACGAACCGGAACTGCGGATCTGCGGCCTGTTTTTAAACGGCCTGATAATACTAAAGATTAATCTAACGATACTATTGCCGCGATAGGATTATTATCCCCTGACTAATCGGTTCTTAAAGAGGAACTAACCACTACCACTACCACCGCCGTCAATTCGATATATACGGCTCCTGCTACGGCTAAGTCTCCTTAAACCTTTTCTTCCACTACTATAGCTAACTAACCTGCTTATATAAGTAGAAGAAGCCGCCCTCCTGTTATTCCGACGGCCGGTACCGACCGGCCTGCCCGTAGTAGGCGTCTAACCGACAGTTATACCCCTCCTTCCTTTTATACCTTCTATAACTAGATTGAGATACCGAAGAAGCCGCCACTATGCCGCGATATATCTAAGGAACCTCTAAACTGGTCTTAAATGCTAAAGAGTCCCTATAAATTAGAACTGATTAAGGCCGTCTTATAGGAGGTCGGTATGCTTAGGCTAATAAGTACCTTGAACGGTGGGAATAGGCCTACTAGCAGTGGTAAGGCTCGGGACTATCTAAATCAGTTCTAAGGCTATTAGATCTTAAATAGAGTTTTAAGTATAAGGTCGATCCTACTAGTTACGTTAATAAGTTTAAGGGACGCCTATATGTTTAAGGGGATTAATAACTAAACAACCACCTTAACGCCTACGCCTCCACCCTCGCTAGAAGGACCTTTAGGTCCCTAATAGACATTATAGCCCACTTTAATCTCGAGACTTAGTAGCTTAACGCCGTTAACGTATTCACTAATACCCTGCTTAACGAAGAGATCTATATTAAGGACCCTCCTAGTTAGTAGTTACTCTAGTTACCTACGGGCCTTAAAGCCGATAATTAACTCGAGGACCTTTTGAAGTAATACCCTCCTATATAACGCAGAGAGATTTAAAGGCTACGTTAAGCGTTATATAGCCTATAGCATTCCCTAAAGCTATAGTACTAATACCTCTCTTCCGTACTAGGTAAGTATAGTCTAAAGCAATTAACCGAAGACGATTACGTTTTTAAGAAGAAGGTCCTGATTACTTTCTTTTACGTTAATAAGATTATCCTAATCTATTATAAGGAATATTAATCTACTACTAATAATCTAGTATAGCAGATATACAAGAGCTTCCAAATCAGGGATCTAGGACTAATTAAGTGGTTCCTTAGAATCCGCGT